ACATACACTAAGAAGAAAATTAATGTTAGTGAGGATTGAAATATAAAAAAAAAAATTTAAGATGATCCATATATTAAAAGAGAAATAGTATCTCGCGTTGAGATTCAGTTAAAACTACTGAGGTATGTACATACATACATATGTACATACATCATAGACTATATGCCTATAATATATTGTGGCGACTGATGGACCATGTTAGTACATACATGCATATGTACGCACATATTTACATACTTATGTATCAATATGAATATTTCCAAGTGGATCAGAAGCGTTTGTGTGTGCATACATATGTATCATATGTCTGGCTAGTGGCGTTGGAGGCCGTGATCGAATATAGGGTGTAAGCGTGCGGTTATTTTGTGATTATTGAGAACAAGAGATAATATTGTTTTTAAGTAGATGTTGACGTTGGCTTTGCTGTCTCATCGTAACGATTTGACTTCGGCTGCTGCAGTTGCTGAGGGATATGTAGTACATCTACATACTATCTACCTATCTACAAATATAAAATATTAAATCCATACTGTATGTACATATGTGTGTGTATGTAAGATAGATGTTTGTAAGTAGCTGAGTGAACGTTGTTTTTAAGATTTTAGCTCTTATCGAAAAATTTTATGTATTGATTTAGTATTTGTACATTTCAAAAGCTGATAACATCTTCACAATATATTTGACCTCTTTCATTTTTACAGTTTGTATAAGCATTTGAAATATTCCATATTTGTATTAAAATATTTAGTACACCCACTGCCCTTTTCAGATCTTATTTACAAATGTATAAATGTACATGGATATTTTTTTCTCATTTTAATGCCATATATGCACATGTTTAGACATGTAAATTTATGTAGTATTTATAGTAGATAGTACTTTATATAATCACACCTGTGTGAATATTTCGAAGAATGTACACTACATATTGTTTGATGAACAAACTTCATATTTCTCACTGAAAGTCAGGACAAGCAAATACTGAGTGGTTGGTCTTTGCTTTGCGTCCAATTAAATCTACGGTTGTTAGCAGGATTATGAATAGTTTTTACACACAGGTGGGAACTGTACGTCATTCACCATAAAAGTAGTCTTACGCGAAATGAGTTTGCATGTGTAAACGCCAATTTCTACATACATACATACATACATATTGGATATCGAGGGACATTTTTGAACGTTCGCCACAATGTTCATTGGGTTGGTTCGACTAATCGTATCGTAAACTTTGGAAAATGGGCGTGGCACCGCCCACTTATGATCACATATATGTATATCGGTAACCGTTATACCAATTTGTACCAAACTCAGTAGTTTTATTGTACTTGCCACATAAAAGCAAAACGTTGAAAATTATTGAAATCGGACTCAAATTACGGCCGCTTTTCATATAACGGTAAATTTCAGAAATGCTTGAAACTGCAATATTTCGAAATTTAAGGACGCTAATTTACTCAAAATTAATACGCCCCGGCTTACCATCTAGCGGTAAGTTTCGGAATGGTGAAAAAACATGTATTTGATACTTGCGCCGCGTATTTAATGTTCGGCTCCGCCCGAACTTTGACTTTCTTACTTGTTTGTATTTGAAATTTTAGCTAGATAACTGCTTAGAATTATTATTCAGCTTATATATGTTAAATAAGTTAATAAGAATTGAGTTTTCTGGATAAATATTAATTGTCTGCTACTAGAGACTACATCCTAGAAAAAATGTTAGTTTTCTTAGATGAAAGTGTATATTTATATAATTTTTCGATTACATCCTATTTGGGCCGATTGTATTATAATTATTGAGCCAATTCAATTCTTATTTACTTATTTTACATATCGTCGATGTTTTTGCAAAACCGCCAATCGATTAACTACAAAACCGCCTATCTTACGACACTCAAATGTTACAGGAGAGCGAAAAAACAGGTTTTCTTTGAAAGCATTGCCTTGACAGGCTGTATTTTCTATAGCTATTATTTAACAAATCTGTTGTTTTAACAACGATTTTAGGATTTCTATGCATAGATCTCAATACCTGGAGTTCAGGGTTACCAAATCTCATTTTTGCCACAACGGCGATTTAGGCGGTTTTGCAACTGGTCGATGGGCGGTTTTTTAAAAACATCGACGATATACTTGTGTATAAATTCAATACTTATTCAGGGCTATCACAGAATCGATCGTAGCTTCGATTTGCGTGAAATCTACGAAAGTGCTACCACAGAAGCCGAATAGCTACGAACGTAAATTCGAAATTCGTAGAGAGCCTTCATTGAATCCGTTCGTAATGAAGATTCCTACAGATACTCTACTCTACTCTACTCAGATACTACAGATACTCTACAGATACTCTATGCTGTCGGAACCGAATTTAAAATGACTGAATCTTAAAAAANAGAGCCTTCATTGAATCCGTTCGTAATGAAGATTCCTACAGATACTCTACGACGAGCTTATGCTGTCGGAATCGAATTTAAAATGACTGAATCTTAAAAACAATGGAAAAAACTGAATTATTGTTAATAATAAAGATTTATTATACGCCAAATTTTTTATAGTTTCATATAATTCCATATATTCGTGTAAGCGTAGACGGACAATACCAATGCCATACATATGTTTATACTTTCATCAGCTAGACGCTATTTAATGAACGAATATGTTTTATGAAGCGAGGAAATAATAGTTTAACAACAATTTATTAGGAAAGAAACCTAATTACTTTAATATCATAAAAATTAATCTAAAAATAAATATTCTTCTCTTTAAAACAATAAANCCTGGAGTTCAGGGTTACCAAATCTCATTTTTGCCACAACGGCGATTTAGGCGGTTTTGCAACTGGTCGATGGGCGGTTTTGTAAAAACATCGACGATATACTTGTGTATAAATTCAATACTTATTCAGGGCTATCACAGAATCCATCGTAGCTTCGATTTGCGTGAAATCTACGAAAGTGCTACCACAGAAGCCGAATAGCTACGAACGTAAATTCGAAATTCGTAGAGAGCCTTCATTGAATCCGTTCGTAATGAAGATTCCTACAGATACTCTACGACGAGCTTATGCTGTCGGAACCGAATTTAAAATGACTGAATCTTAAAAACAATGGAAAAAACTGAATTATTGTTAATAATAAAGATTTATTATACGCCAAATTTTTTATAGTTTCATATAATTCCATATATTCGTGTAAGCGTAGACGGACAATACCAATGCCATACATATGTTTATACTTTCATCAGCTAGACGCTATTTAATGAACGAATATGTTTTATGAAGCGAGGAAATAATAGTTTAACAACAATTTATTAGGAAAGAAACCTAATTACTTTAATATCATAAAAATTAATCTAAAAATAAATATTCTTCTCTTTAAAACAATAAAATCTAACCTAAAAAAAATTATAAAAAAAGAAAAACGAAGCTGCCCGACAACTCGGACTCGAACTCGGAGCTCTCAATTGGCAGTCTATGTAGTACTTTGTTCACTCGGCCATTGCGACTGCTGGGGCAGCGTGAGCAAAATGGCATACATACATAAATGTCTATGTTTTCTTTGCACTAATTGATTTCGAATCAGCATTCGAAGCTGGCAATGATATTTTCGAGTTCACTTGGACTCAGTGATAGCAATTTTTTCGTATTCACAGCAGGCATTCGAATTCGTAGATTTTCCGCGGTGGATTCCGTGATAGCCCTGATTATCGCATCTGGTACGTAACGACCCGGCGATATGACCATAAAACGATTGATCATTTTGTTGTATTAATTTTTTGGGCATATCAAATATTATCTTAAACATGTCAACTATAATTAAATTAATTTCTTCTTTACTTTTTACAATACAGTTTAGGGAAGCTCCAACGTTATGTCAAAACCTTAAGACAATCCTTAATTATTTTGTTTGAATTGAAAATTCAGTACAAATCAGTACAAAATTTAAAAAATCAGGACATTAGCTTACTGATTGAAGAAATAAATAAAATCAGTACAAGTGTTGAAAGATCAGTACTGTACTGATAAAATCAGTACGTCTGGCAACCGTATCGGGGTATTTTGTTGACTTTGACTGTTGTCAGCAGCGAGTGAAGTTTTTCGAAATCGTACTTAAGATCTACTAAGTCCCAAGAAAGACTACACGCTTTAGCTAGCTTATCTATCGAAAACGAGACAGCCTCTAAGATTGACTTGTCCGAAACCATTGAAAAGATTTGCTAAAGCCAAAGCATCTGATATCTGAAAATTTTGATTATCTCTAAAAAGATTATCTGCGTAAAATGGACGCATGCGTTCCCGGCATATTTTTTGTTCTTTTGGCAGGACGCTATTTTGTCTTTGTTGCTTTTTCCCTTAATAAATAATTATATATTAGTGGTAGTAGATATATTATAAAAGACTTAAAAGCTTATATAGCCTGATTTCTTAATTAATAATAATAATAGATTGGCGCTTACACATATGTTAGTGTTTGGCCGAGCTTCTCCTCCGATTTGTGGCGTGCGCCTTGATGTTGTCACACAAAGCGGAGGGACCTACAGTTTTACGCCGACTCCGAACGGCGATTGTATTTTTATGAGAAGCTGTTTTTTCATGGCAGAAATACACTCGGAGGTTTGCCATTGCCTGCCGAGGGACGACCGCTGTTAAGAAAAAACATGTTTCTATATTTTTTTTGCGATGTTGCCACTAATATTACGGAAGAAAAATACTACATAGAATGCCGGGGTCCGGGGTTTTTGTGGTAAAGTCTTCTTGAGTTTTAGCTACCACGCATAAATACTTGCTAAAACAATTTTTTTTTATTGCGAAAATGAGTTTTAGTCCTAAGATTAAAGAAATGTCTATTTCTAATGGTTTTCTAGAATTAAGATTGTTAAGATCTATTATTTTTTTTTTTATTTCTTTACATTTAAAACAATTTGATTATCCAGAATTATTTGTATATTTCCATGGTTCTGTTCCATTTTTAAATCATATTTTTCTGTATCAATTCTATTTACAGTTATCCTTAAAGATGTAACATTTAATATCATGTGTGAACTTCTAGAATTCATGTACCAGGGTGTAGTGAATGTTAAACACACGGAATTGCAATCGTTTATGAAAATTGGTCAATTATTGCAAATAAAAGGTCTTGCCACAAATGTCTCCTCAACAACGGGTTCCACGCCCACTGATAAGTCGGCTAGTCAAACACATAATAACGATGAGACAAGCAACGTTTGTGCTGAGCTAGAAAACAATACTAGTGCGAGCGTGAAAACCACACCAAAACGTGAAGCCATTGGCGATAATGCGAATACATCGGAAGTGCTGGAAAATGTAAAAATTACAAATCCCATTTCAATTAAGTCACATTCGCCGCCATCATCCCCATCCCCAATGGGTTTCGATTCAACTGCCTTGTTAAATCAACCAAGTTTCAAAAGTTCACCGGAGAACAATGTGCCACTACATCAGAGCTATCATCACGCAGGTGCGAATCTCAAACGACATTCGGATTTAAATAGTGATGCACNTTGGCCGAGCTTCTCCTCCGATTTGTGGCGTGCGCCTTGATGTTGTCACACAAAGCGGAGGGACCTACAGTTTTACGCCGACTCCGAACGGCGATTGTATTTTTATGAGAAGCTGTTTTTTCATGGCAGAAATACACTCGGAGGTTTGCCATTGCCTGCCGAGGGACGACCGCTGTTAAGAAAAAACATGTTTCTATATTTTTTTTGCGATGTTGCCACTAATATTACGGAAGAAAAATACTACATAGAATGCCGGGGTCCGGGGTTTTTGTGGTAAAGTCTTCTTGAGTTTTAGCTACCACGCATAAATACTTGCTAAAACAATTTTTTTTTATTGCGAAAATGAGTTTTAGTCCTAAGATTAAAGAAATGTCTATTTCTAATGGTTTTCTAGAATTAAGATTGTTAAGATCTATTATTTTTTTTTTTATTTCTTTACATTTAAAACAATTTGATTATCCAGAATTATTTGTATATTTTCATGGTTCTGTTCCATTTTTAAATCATATTTTTCTGTATCAATTCTATTTACAGTTATCCTTAAAGATGTAACATTTAATATCATGTGTGAACTTCTAGAATTCATGTACCAGGGTGTAGTGAATGTTAAACACACGGAATTGCAATCGTTTATGAAAATTGGTCAATTATTGCAAATAAAAGGTCTTGCCACAAATGTCTCCTCAACAACGGGTTCCACGCCCACTGATAAGTCGGCTAGTCAAACACATAATAACGATGAGACAAGCAACGTTTGTGCTGAGCTAGAAAACAATACTAGTGCGAGCGTGAAAACCACACCAAAACGTGAAGCCATTGGCGATAATGCGAATACATCGGAAGTGCTGGAAAATGTAAAAATTACAAATCCCATTTCAATTAAGTCACATTCGCCGCCATCATCCCCATCCCCAATGGGTTTCGATTCAACTGCCTTGTTAAATCAACCAAGTTTCAAAAGTTCACCGGAGAACAATGTGCCACTACATCAGAGCTATCATCACGCAGGTGCGAATCTCAAACGACATTCGGATTTAAATAGTGATGCACTGTCAATCTACTCGCGCAAACAATTTCGCCGTTCGATAGCATCAGCGGAACACAATACCGATCATAGTGACAGTGCTGATGCGGACGCTGATTCCGACTACTTTCNTAAAGAAATGTCTATTTCTAATGGTTTTCTAGAATTAAGATTGTTAAGATCTATTATTTTTTTTTTTATTTCTTTACATTTAAAACAATTTGATTATCCAGAATTATTTGTATATTTCCATGGTTCTGTTCCATTTTTAAATCATATTTTTCTGTATCAATTCTATTTACAGTTATCCTTAAAGATGTAACATTTAATATCNTTTTTTTTTATTGCGAAAATGAGTTTTAGTCCTAAGATTAAAGAAATGTCTATTTCTAATGGTTTTCTAGAATTAAGATTGTTAAGATCTATTATTTTTTTTTTTATTTCTTTACATTTAAAACAATTTGATTATCCAGAATTATTTGTATATTTCCATGGTTCTGTTCCATTTTTAAATCATATTTTTCTGTATCAATTCTATTTACAGTTATCCTTAAAGATGTAACATTTAATATCATGTGTGAACTTCTAGAATTCATGTACCAGGGTGTAGTGAATGTTAAACACACGGAATTGCAATCGTTTATGAAAATTGGTCAATTATTGCAAATAAAAGGTCTTGCCACAAATGTCTCCTCAACAACGGGTTCCACGCCCACTGATAAGTCGGCTAGTCAAACACATAATAACGATGAGACAAGCAACGTTTGTGCTGAGCTAGAAAACAATACTAGTGCGAGCGTGAAAACCACACCAAAACGTGAAGCCATTGGCGATAATGCGAATACATCGGAAGTGCTGGAAAATGTAAAAATTACAAATCCCATTTCAATTAAGTCACATTCGCCGCCATCATCCCCATCCCCAATGGGTTTCGATTCAACTGCCTTGTTAAATCAACCAAGTTTCAAAAGTTCACCGGACAACAATGTGCCACTACATCAGAGCTATCATCACGCAGGTGCGAATCTCAAACGACATTCGGATTTAAATAGTGATGCACTGTCAATCTACTCGCGCAAACAATTTCGCCGTTCGATAGCATCAGCCGAACACAATACCGATCATAGTGACAGTGCTGATGCGGACGCTGATTCCGACTACTTTANGAATGTTAAACACACGGAATTGCAATCGTTTATGAAAATTGGTCAATTATTGCAAATAAAAGGTCTTGCCACAAATGTCTCCTCAACAACGGGTTCCACGCCCACTGATAAATCGGCTAGTCAAACACATAATAACGATGAGACAAGCAACCTTTGTGCTGAGCTAGAAAACAATACTAGTGCGAGCGTGAAAACCACACCAAAACGTGAAGCCATTGGCGATAATGCGAATACTTCGGAAGTGCTANCGATTCAACTGCCTTGTTAAATCAACCAAGTTTCAAAAGTTCACCGGACAACAATGTGCCACTACATCAGAGCTATCATCACGCAGGTGCGAATCTCAAACGACATTCGGATTTAAATAGTGATGCACTGTCAATCTACTCGCGCAAACAATTTCGCCGTTCGATAGCATCAGCCGAACACAATACCGATCATAGTGACAGTGCTGATGCGGACGCTGATTCCGACTACTTTATTTCATCCTTACCACATCTGGCCACAAACTCGTCGGCAGCGGCTGCGGCGGCAGCATTTAGAGGCACTTTTAATCCTGCTGCCTTCGGATTCGATTACAATTTGTACAAAGGTAGTGGTGCTACTGGTGTGACTGGAAGTGGCATAGGTGGCGTTTGTGGCAGCAATACGGCTGGTAGTAGCGGGCAGGAATATCCAAATGATTTGCATATTCCAAGTGATTATTCGAAGAATTTCGGAAACCATGTGGACATTCCGCCAAGTATGTATTTTTATTCTATTTTATAAAAATGTACATTCATATTTATGATTTTACACACATACATATTAGTTTTTGAACGCATGTTATTTTTTATCAAATATTTTCATTAGAGCCTATGCATCTGCATATCTGTGTATGTACATGCTGTATGTAAATGTGTTTGTATGTGCATTTTTAAATGTTTGTTTTTGCATGTAAGTAGTATTACTTTGACATAGAACAAATATTTTAAACTTATAGACGTATGTAACTGAATATTTTTTGATGTGCTTAATATACATATATATTGTCGTTGTTTTTGCAAAACCGCCTATCTGACGGCACTCAAAATTTAGCGTAGAGCGCAAAAACGGTTTATTCCTTGAAGACATTGCCTTGATAGGCGGTATTTTCTCTATCTATAATTTTAAAAATCTGTTGTTTTAATAACGATTTTTATGCATAAATTTCGATGCCTGGAGTTCAGGGTTACCAGATCTCATTTTAGCCACAACTGCAATTTAGGCGTTTTTGCAACTGGTCGATGGGCGGTTTTGCAAAAACATCGACGATATGTATCTATGCGTACGTATGTCTGCATCTGCATGCTTTTTCAACCATTTTCTTTTAGCACCTAAAATGATTCTAATAAGCTAATAAGTAGTAAATGATGAGTACAGCCCCATTCTTTGGCTATCGTGAATAAGCAGCCTTACGAATACATACATACAAAGTATATGTTTTTGTTTTAGTTTTAATAATTATAATCTATCGATTTTTAATTATAAAAAAAAAATCTAACATAGTATTTCCAAGAGTGTTAAAAAGAAATATATGGGTCATTCCATATAATTCTTACAGCCAAATATTTTTTTCTGCATTTTTATTTTGTCATGATATTCAAAAATCTCGAAAAAAATTCCAAAAATTTTGAACGCACGGAGAAGTATCTTTTTTCAATTATTGGCAGTTAATAAACTATTTGTCGGAGAAAATCATTTAAGGTATCAAAATGTGAGAGCGCGAGATAGATAAACAAAATGTTTGCATTAAAAAATTGCATTTTTTACATTTTTTATTTTTTTTATTAACTATACCATGTTCGATGTTTATTTTTTTTAAGCTGAATAGTATGGACTTTATAGAGTACGCGGTAAAAATATGAGAATGGAAGCACCAAAACTGTAGAAGTTTATTTAATGTTTAATATTTTTATAACAGTCTAGCTACTTATACAACAAATACCACATAAATCCACATTTCAAATTTTGTATAAAAATTATTAAAATTCAACAAATTTTCACCAAAATTTAAAACTTTTTATTCAGCATTTCTTGGTATGCAGAGCTTATTGAATTTTAGTATAATGAGGTGCAAAAGTTCAAGTATTTAGCTACAAAATATCGTTGTTTTTTAATTATTTTGTTTGCTGACGGTGTTACGCATTTTTTACAAGCTTTTATTTAACTTCACTTGTATATTCATGTAAGGGTGACCCTTATTTTAATTTCNTTTTAGGGCCCCCCCCCCCCCCTAGATTGGTGAATATTCATGAAAAAATATGTTACCCAAAATTTCAGGTCATTCGGAGAAAGTTGAGGCGTGCCGACCGACCGCCCCCCAAAGTTTGAATTAAACCTCTTATTTTAGTTCTTTAATAGTACATATTTATTTAAAAAAAAACAAAGAAATAGTGATTAAAGTTGTAAGTTGTTACAAAGCAAATATTTTTACTTGAAATATGTTTTCGTATTAAGTTAAGACTAAATTTTTGCGAGGTATTTTTTTGGGTCTGTGTAAAAATATATAAATCAGGTTTTCTATAACTTTATTTGATATCCGATTTCTATTATAGGTGATTCACCGTTGTAAAGGTATTAAAAAATTCTGTATACATTCGTCAGGAAAGATTATCCTATCATATCAAACTACAGTTTTGACTTATTATTATTATCGTACATGTGGACTCTTAGGCACGTTGCACATTAGAGCGATACGATACGCGATACAATAAGCGATATCGACATGCCGAGTACGTGGGAATTGGTAGAAAGCGATGAGAACTGGGCTCATTTGCACGACACGGACACTGCGGCAACGTATATCGCTTGCGTAACGTTCTCAGCAATCAAAAAATGAAACCACCCAGATTCGCTGTCACCCCATTTGGTCTAATGCGGAGCTTTATGCAACTTAGTAAAAAAAGTCCGTAATTTAAAGATAGAACATTTTTATAGTATTCTTAAATATACATATATAGTCAGCGTCAGAAGTATAATACCCTGACGTTTTGACGATTTTTTTCATTTGTATTTTCCATATTTATTTTTTTTATTTGTCATAAAAATATAACTCATTCTCATTATCATATAGAACTCGGGAAAATTCAAGAATCACCCAAAATTGGTCCATACAAACTTTCAATATTTCAATTCGATTTCCTAGAAAAATTTCGAGTACGCAGTTTTGTAGCCCATTAAATTTTAGTTACTAAGGTGCAAGTTTCAAGACTATAGAAATGACCCTTGATTTTTGAGAATTTTTTTTTTCTTTATTTTGACTACGTATATGCCCCATTGTTTCCAAAAATTGCAAACGTTTGCCAAACTTAACAAATATAAAATCAGATTCGAATTTTGATGAAAAACCAGACGGATCAAGAGTCACTGAAGAGTTTTCTTTGGTAATAAATTCTTAAGGTTTTCTGAACTCAAGCAGTTATCGGAAAAATTAAAATTTATTATGTATCCTGATGTGACTTCACTTGATAAACTGAACTTGTTTGATTGGCTGGAAATCGTAGATTGTGAAACGGAGCTGATTGAGTTTCAGTGCAAATATTAACTAAAAGCTTAGTCGAAACAAGGAAATAGTTAGAATCAATCGAATTAGAAAGACCATCGGCCAATATGAGCAATAATGCTAGTACTAAAATTTTGGAAACTTGGAATTCAATTCCAGATATATTAGC